TGTTGTCTTTTCTATAGTTCTATATCAAGATGGCGGCTTCGATCTTGCTCGTCATGTACGGACTAAATCTCGTCTATCCGGTATCGGAATCACCCGGATAAGGTCAGACTCTCATATCTCACCACAATATAATGAAATATAATCGTTAGGACTCTGGATAAAACATATAACAAACAAAAAAACTAATGCGCCAGTTTCATTTCATTTAATATCGAATTTGTTAATTATCAAAGTAATCATCATACATCTTTAGTCTATAGATTAATATAAAGTATATAAATGTATGCGTTAAATGTTACAGACATTAACTCCGAGGGAAGTTTAAACTCGAAAGTCCTTGCATGGAACCAGAAGCAATCTGGATTCACCGACCTCGCCGGACGAGATGTTGCGGTATGTTTTTACTTTTACTCGTATTCCAGCCCTGATATTGGGAAGAACGATATCATTAACATACACAAACAAAAACTAAGCTTTACGACAAAGACAAAAGAATTTCTTCTATCATATCATGTGCAGTTTTCAAACACGACATTTATTATGATTGATTTAGATTATTTTGAAATCATACAAAGTTTAAACGTTTGTTTAAACTTTAAGATCCAAAATGTTTCGGCTGTTTTGAAATCTATAACAGTATCGTTTTTGTTGAGGAAAAGGAACTTGGACAATTCAACATTTCAAGCAAGTGTTTAAAATAGCGGATGTTTTCTTTGTTCGTTTCTACTTTTAGAATCCATAAATGTTATGATATCTTGTACCAAATAGTATCATTTAAATGCATTTATTTTATGATATACTGTACTTTACAAGTTCGCAAACAATATTTCATTATGTAATACAAAAATGATTTATTATCATTGTATAATATTTGTGTCTTTTTAAGTATAATCAACCACTACATATCCCCAGAGCTCACATTGAAAGAAGTAATTCGTTTGGAATACACAACAACGACTCTGGTAATGGTGGAACAAGAGCAAACAGAGCCCGTAATGATAATGGAATCTTCAAAATCAGCCATGGCGTAACTGGAGGTAGATCTAACAGAGCCAATAATGACAATGGAGTTCACAACGATGGTTTTGAGAGTGATGGATTCAGAGCTAAAAGAGCCAGTGCTAATGATGTGATCAACAAAGGCTTTGATCACACTGGGGGTGGATCTTACAGACCTTCTTATGATGACAAGATGGATCGAGAGGAATATTTCAACTTTTAAGACATAGAACCCCATTTTACTGCAAAGATAATCATATGGATGGGTTTTATTCTATTTTAATTCTGATAAAATAAATAAAGATAAAAAGTGTCTCCAACAAAAAATGAAAAAAGGAAAACACTAAAGAATTGTTTCTATCATGATGATTAACTTATAGTCTTTTGTATATATTTAAATATCTTGTTTTTTTTTCTCTATTATACTAGACAATGAGTATTTTCAGGAAGATAAGTCTTGACAGATTGTATAGCAATTTATAGTGCGTGTTAAAGATCCTGTATGTTGCAAACTTTTTTATATTTTTAAATTTTATATATGTATATAATTATGCTTAAAACAATTTTCAAACGTCGTAGAATATGTTAAATGTGTACTTCAAATATTTGTCCATATTATATGTAATCATTACAATATAAGTATTCATTTCTTATTAAAAAAATTGACTGAGACGTTATAGAAAATGTAGAACATGAAATGTAAACTCGGTAATATCTTTACAAATAATGCTTTTTGGACCTTACAATATTTAAAAATCTTCATTGAACATTATATTTAGGATATAAAAACATAAAAAAAATTGAGTTACTGGATCTTTAAACATTTTATACTTTTTTTTTATTTCAAGTTAAAATTCTTTTGATTTCGATTAATGTATTAAATGAAATTTAGCACTTTGTTTTTCTAACGAAATTGTGAGAACACAATTTACAGAATTTCCAATGTGACCAAATTGTAAAACAACATTATTTTACATTTCTACAACATAGCTATTATAGTTTTCTCTTTAATACTTTTAAACATTTTTAACGTGTGATTGTTGTATTGTTAATGGTAATGCTTGACTCCTAAATTTGTGCGTTAAGTAATAAATTCGTAACACAAGCTCTGTAGTAAATAGAAAAAGAAAAGTCTGTGTATTTACAGTGAGAGACATTTTTCTTTCTAGCTTTGATTATGCATGTAATTAGACTTTGATTAAATTCGAAAATTAATCATCAACAAATCATTCAAGAATAATAAGACAAACTAAATTATGTTTTATATTTTCATTCAACGATTTTCCGGAAAAAGCAACTGTTCCCACTGAATGATTTTATTTTGGCAAGAAATAATAATTGGTAAACTCCTTATAAGTAGATTTATAAGTATCATAGTGAAATAAGAAATTTATTAAAGCTATCGCTTTACATGCTAATAAATTAGCATAATTTTACAACAGTATCAATGTTGTTGTGTTTTTTGCAGTGACGTTGTTAACATTCTTATGCAAATAACTTTTATGTTGGTAAAAATGCTCAACTAGAAATACAAACTATGAACTAACATAACATCATTCTATTGTGATAAAAATCTGTTAAGATCATAGTTGTTGATGTCTTATTGAAACCCCTTCAGTTATTTCTCATGATTTTTTGTTTTGACATTCTTAACAATACAGATTTTCTATCCCTTCTTAAATCAAGTAAAAAATATATAAACATCAATTAGGTGGAAAAATATTCCTGAAAAAAATTGAAAATTTCAAATCAAAATCAGCAGATTCACCAATGACAAAGCCAAAACAATTGAACAGATATTGAATAACTGTAATAAATCAATACTGCGAATGTCCTGGGAATAGGGAGCATAAACTATATTATCATTTACATATGTTTAACAAAACATCACTTTAGACCTTGGTGTAACAGATTTAAAATGACTAAGACATTGTATTATAATTAAACATGATCAATATTAGAAACTCTTAAATTGCTAGACGAAAGTTAAACTAATACACTTAATTATGAAAACTTTAGAATCATATATTACGACAACGGCTTACTGCACTTCAGTGTTGTTTTCGTTTTTTCAAGTCTTTCAGGACCATTGATTCTAGCACATGTAGTACTGCTTAAGCTTGTCTTAGGGGAATGTTGCACTTATTCATGAAAAGACTCAATAAAACCAAGTCTACAATTTTCATATAATTTTGTATGTTTCATTGCTTCATAAATGCTTGTTTGCTTGTTTCATGAATCTCCCCTTTTCTAGATATTTACATAAGTCATCGTGAAAAGAAATCAGGATATACGATTATGAACATCATAACATTACGCAAATTTTGATATACCTGTCGATAAATAGTATGTTCTTTTGATAGTTGATTTAATTGCTATAGACAACTTATTTGAAATATTGAGCTTAAAAAAATAAAAAGAAGACCAAAAAAAAGTTTTTATGAAAAAAGGATAGGGAAAAAACTTATATAAAAGGTTTTTGGTACCAGCTAATAGAGCTATTGTTAAGCGGTAACCTTACATTAAAAATGAACTGACAAACAAATCTTTCTAGGAGGAATTTTCAGGTTTAAGTGAAAGAAGAGTTAATGATTAGATTATATACTAAACATGTAGTAACACCCCATTCAGACTTATAATCAATTGATTAAATTCTAAAAGAAGAGTGGATTTCGTAAAGACATCACAGTCATAAGGCTCACGAAATTAATGATTTTTTCCCATGATTTTTCAAATCCATTATGCTTGAATGGCTGTTTGGACACGTTTTTATCAATTTTATAGCTGCCACGAAGTTGTTGTATAAAGGTTCCTTTATCAGGCCTTAATTGTTTTAATCTACAGTATTTTTGTAATATTTGGCATGTAATATTATTTTATTTATAACTTCATCAAGCTGTGCATTGCAAAACTATTTATCCGACTGACTCCAGGTTTGAATGTTCCATCTATCATTAATATAAACTTGTAGTTGTTCCCAACAATGTTGTGTTCCATTAGTCATTGAAAAAAATAATCAATGTTTCTTTTTCGTTTGGGCAAAATGAATAAGTATCCTTATCAATTATATTCATTTTCTTAAACAAATAGTTTGTTGCAAGAATTCTATGGTTTATTCTATACTGAAACCATATTAACTTTGGGTCCTTTGTATATTTGTACACCATATTATACAATGTTTTCTACTTGAATCCATACACTGTTATTTTTAGTCCTAAAATCATTTTTCCACTTATGCAATGATTGATTTTTAATACTGTTTTTCAGCTTGTATTGCTCCAGAAAATAGAACGGCTTCTTTTCAAATCTCTATTTATTATACATTTAGGATTTGGAATAGGTACGTTATATTTATGTCGAAACAGTTTAAAGCAAATAATCCTGATAAACACTACTTCTGTCAGTATTTGATTCACGTTGAGAAATGTAGAAACGTTGCGGACAGAAGACAATGTAAATGCCCGTCCAGGATTTTCTTTGAGAAAACCTGGTTAAAGAATAAGGTACACGTAGATAATTCCCTGGACAAACAGTAGATTTGTGGTGTGAATCTGGCTGGAAAAGAAATTTAAATCTGCGATATCCTTATCTCCATAGAATAAGAAAAAGTATTCAGCAAAACCACGTTTGTTGCCTGATATATAGGAAAACACTCATCCAAATAAACCACTGAGTGCCTTATGTAAATAGGTTTTGTTGGAGGTTGCGTTCAGAATACGCAACTCTCCCCTTCTTGATCTGTACTTTCATATTATACTTACAACATACATTCTGAACCGATATTCTTCGCTTACTGGATTAGTGCCAACTGCCGCTTAAACAAATTTTCCATTCTACATTAAATTTTGTATAAGTCGAGAAATTTACCTTTTAATTCTGGAAAATTATAAAGCATTTCTGGTTTTCCATGAATATCAGCATTGTTTGTCTTCTAATGTAGTGATCATCCATTCTTGGTGCACTATGTCAAGTCCACATTGAATTAATTTCATCAAACAAAATCGGAGGAACTCTCTATAAAAAAACAAATAACGACAGATGTTTAATGACTTATTATGTTATTACAAATATTTTTCTATTTATGAAATTGAGTAAATAAGCTATACAAAACGAGTATGGATTTTTTGTGTGTGTTAATTTCATGCTTTGAAGATTGTGAAGAAAGCTTGTAGCTGATTTAGACCATTACCTTCAAGCGTACTTCACACGGAAAAAACGCTATGAGCCCAACTAAAGGCGTGGGGCTCCCAAGCGCTAGCCCGTAAACTTCCGGGATTTATCTTGGGGTTATCCCGGTTTATAAAATTTGTTTGATAAATGAAAAAAAACAATTTTTAAATTTTTTTTGGGTAGATTTTTTTAATTTTTTAAATTTTTCCGGAACCCCGGTGATTTGGAAAATTTCCCAAAAGATATTCCAAATTATTGGGCCCAGGCTTTTAATATCCAAAGGAAGATTTTTGGGGTTTAAAGGCATCGACATAAAAATAAATTTAAGTTAATTCTTTCTTTAATAAGTGTTTAAAAAAATTTTTTTTGAAAAATTTATTTTCAGTTTTAGAAAAAAGTTTTTTTTAAAAAATTTGAAAAAAATAACTGTTGAAAATTTTTCCAAGGTAAATTTCCCCCTTTGAAGTAATGTCGATAAAAATCAATAACGATCGCAGTACTGGATGGATTATCTGCCACGACAGCATAATTTACCGTTATTGATTTACTGTATAGAGTTGCGGATACCGTTAATATACGTACCTAGTATGGCATAAAATTAATGTTGAGAAATAGTGAGAATTTCTTTCCAGGATGTTGTTTATGTCATTATACAGTACAGATTCAATGGGTACTTCTCAATGTAAATAATGTTTAAACTGAATGATCGATTGTTTTGCAAAAGGAACGACCACGAACAAATAGCAAAAGGCACTCCTTACTCTGAAAATATAAACATTTTCCAATGCTTAATAAAATTATTTACATAGAAAAATGACGAATGTGAGAGAAATAAAATATTTAGATCAAACAGATACGTGAAAGCTTCCAATAATGAAACATTTTTTATTTTGACATTGCATTATTATGAAAACCAGCGAAAAGCTTTTTGAATATTTGCAACTGTACCATTTTCCGTTCCAGCGTCCATTCTTACACATCTGGAAACACCTGCAATATCAATTGATAAAATGTTGAAAAAGTGTTCTGTATTAGTCTAATAAATAAGAATTATTTTAAGATCTAAATAATGATGATAAAGCTCTAGCATCTGAATTTCCACAGAGGTGACATTTGTGCATTATTACCTCACCTGACAACGAAGTGGTCAAGGTGAGATATAGTGATGCGACTATGTCCGACGTGCGTCGTCAATAATTGGATTGTTAACACTGTAGCAGTCAATGTTATGCGTTGGACAAGATTGTTAGCTTTCAGTATTTGTTTAATATCCTTGAAAAATAAATTAAAGATAAGTTATTTAATCAGTTGTAGTCTTGTTAAATGCGCCCCTCTGAGAATGACAGCTAAATCCATGATCACAACACTAGATACTGGTGTTATAACGGCGAATTCCAAACATCCATACCCATGTAGACACAATATTTGTCGTCCGGAAAGGAAATAATAAGATTCTGCTATAGGAAACATAATCAAACTATTTTTGTACACATTACAAAACCAACGAAACGGACAATTGGGGAATTTCACAAATACATGCAACAGTAGCTACAATGGGCTAAATAGCTACCTTTTCTTCCTATTGGAATTGGTTGTTTTTCACCACACCTTTTAAGTTATACAGATATAATCATCTAATCTTTTAACATGATAGTATCTCTGCAATAATTAAAAGCAAAACATAAAATTAAAGAAATATAATTAGAAGTTTACCCCACATACATCTTCATGTGTATCTTGCAGTCAATATGGCGTTTTCCCGCCTTTACGGAACCTCTAGTTCCTAAGACCTAAGTTCTAAGATCTAACATCTAAGTTCGAATTATTGGTTTTTAACTTCTAACTCAAAACGGCCTCAATGGGCTTCCGTACATTCACGATCAATCGAGTGTGCACATTATGCTTTTATGTCTTATCGAAGCAAAACAAAACATTGTATCTTATTACCATTACGTCTAATTATCGTCTTTTATTCTAGTTTATTCAATGACATACCATGACATGCGTAATATTTATAAAAAAAGACAATTAAGTATTATAGTGTCTTAATGTATTCGATTTTTAATTGGCTAACGGGCTAGCGGCTTCCTCAACCGTAAAGCGAATATAATAGTTAAACTATTTATGTTTTAAAATATATTAAAAACTAATCCGATGAGGGGACTATATTGCACTTATTCGTGTTAGAGCATACCTGAGTTATCTGTGGCCATTGTGATAATTGTATTTTATAAGTACATTTAAAACAGAAACATTTGAAACATGATTCAAAAAGAGTAAAGTCAAACACTTTTGTTTCTAAAACACTGGCTATGGATTCAAGTAGAACCCTAATACGGTTACAATTGTATTACAAGTCATTTTATTCTAAAATGATATTAATTTTTATTATAATAGTTTATAATTACTCTTCA